TAAATGTGATAATGCAACTGGTAATAATTCAGTCAAAAGTTGAACTGCAATTAGGACTTTGTTATCACGAAGCCAAGGTATTTCCACGAGCTGATCCGCTAGCTAAAGTCTTTTTTCTGGAGGGGGGTGGGGGAGGGAGAAATCTTGAAATTCAGAATAAAAAGTTATGATTTCTAGTAAAAACTCATGGATCGACTGTAGTTTCCGTGATTAAAAGCTCTGAGTCAGAATGGGCTTTTTTAGTCATCCTTCTCGGTCTCCTACTGCTGTCCCGATGCCTATATTGTATGCTTATTAGTAGCTCATCATTGACTCATAATGAGCCCTCGAGGAAAACTACCAATTGCTCAGGTAAGAACTGCTGAGGTTAGGATACTAGTAACCGTGAAGCTAGCTCCAAAACACCTTGTCCGCACGTCGTCTCGACTCCTTTACAGGAAAACCAACGGAATTTCACCAGATTCGAAGCAAGTGGGAAACATCTAGTTGCAGTTTTTATAACTTGTCAGAACAAATATCTCATGTTTCCGCTCAATCAGTTCCTAGAAGGTCCTTCTGAGACTAGGTTCGGGAGTTACCTGGGCCTGATCTATCGGAACATTTCTTCTGTGCCACATATTCATGACTGTCAGTTCTTAAAATACAACTATTCAGTTTCATTCGATAAAAACCACTTACATCGGCGAACTCCTTTGCAATCAATTGCAGCGGTGCAATTCGTTCGACAGGCACAGGATCACCCTAAATTGAAAACAACGTTAGGAAAACGAGTGAGTCGCTCATAGAGAAACAGAAAATTCATTCAGGTTGAGAAATCCATTGAGGAGCTAAGAAAATTGACAAATATTCCGAAGAAATATGAACTTTAAGAAAACTTCAGCGCTTTCGGATAGATTTAGAAAAGTTGATTGATGTACCTGCTTTGGTTTTCCTTCTAAATCGTGGAATTTTCGTGATCTTGCGTAATAAGGGAAGTACTTGGAGTTCAGACTCATCAGACCAGTTTTGTCGTACCGATGGCCACATCGGCATACTGTGTTATGAGCTGACTCACTTGGTAACTGAAAAGTGATAGTTTACGAAGACATTCTCTCGGTAGGGCTACTTGCTAGTAGCTGGAAATGGTGTTCTACTGAGGACCAAAGATATCAGTAAACATGAGTTCATAGATAGAATGGTGTAGAGAAAAGAAGAATATTCCTAACTGAGCACCTTTCGCAGGAAGATTATCGGCAAGTATGGGGAAAGCGAATGAGAACGGTGATTATATCACCTTTTTTTCGATTCGAGACAGGCTCAGATAAATTTGGCTACCTTACTGAGAACAACGCGACCGAATCCAACGGCAATTTACAGAGGAAATCGAAAATTCAGGTAAACGACTGGAGGGGGAATGAATTAACTATGGTTAGTAATCACCCATATGTTCAAGTGTGCCACACAAGTAAGGGCCCAGATGAAGGTGAAAAAGTAGGGTGAAAGACGAACATCCCAAATAATGAAGTACCAGCAATCCATTATCCTAAGGAACACCCATCTGCAATAAAATCCCGGAGAGGGAGATGACAAGCGGCGCACGATCACATGCGCACGGTCCTGAGACCTCTTGATTTGCCTGAGCGGATTCTAGAGAGACATTCGCTCAT